GCCCATCCCGCGCCGGCGCTGGGTCCCCATCTAGGGAGGGAGAAAAGGTGCGTTAGGAGCACGAGGGCCGCGGCTCAGGCGGCCTCGGACACTGCTCTTATCTGTACAGCGCTACCACACATGGTGTTTAAAAATTAATCATGGATCCATGCTCTACACGGAGGCATTTCCCCCAGCTTTGGGAGGAAATCATGCAATTCGGTTGCGTTGCGTTGGAGTGACCAGCAGTCCTGGCGTTCTGCACGTGTTGTCCAGGAGGGATCCGTGGCTGTAAGACTTTGCACTATGAGCGGAGGCAACGGGGATGCCAGACCACCCTGCGCTCTCGAGGAAGGGCTTGTATTCCTAAAAGGGCCTCTGAGATTTGTATTCCTAGAAAGGTGCATATATAGGGCAGCAATGGGAAGGCATTTCTTTTCACGGGATCACTGCGGCTCCTTCTCAGGCAGTGTGCACTCAGAGCGCATGTGGGAGCTGCTGAGCTGCTCAGAGTGGGTTTAAGGTTCAGGGAACAGGGCAGGATGGAAGGAAACTCAGACCCTGACCCACCTCTGCAATAAAAATGAAGCCAAGATGGCTGATTCCAAGGTCATGAACACATGAAAGATGCAGACTTTGTTAGAGAGTAAGAGCCATGGGCTCTCCAAGGAGAGAGTGCAGAGAGATATGGACACAGCAGCACTTCAGTCTTAAAATCCGTGCTGAGACTGTTCAACAAGAATGCTCAGCTGCTGAGGAGCTGCTTCATTACACTTAAAAAGCTTCGGCAATATTGTGCTTATGGACCCATGCTACACAATTATGTATTTCCTTTCTGGTTGCTTCACTGACCTCATTAAGTGCAAGAGCGGGTTTATCGTTGCGTATAAAGTGACTGACCGAGCCTTGGCAAACACATCCATCAGTCACTGGCTGAGTTCAAGAGCATGTGCTGAAATGGATGATTTGGATGATGCAGATAAACGCAGAACTTGAAAGCATGCAGGCCTCTAATCATGCAGCTGCAGCCCAGCAATGATGTTAATTCGCATTCCTGGGTACACAGCTGCACCGATACCCAAAACACATACTGAATATTTTTTACCCCAAAGAAGTGGAGATTTGTCACTGATCTCTTAGTAGAACAGCAGAAGTGAAGAAGAGCAGGAGGTGGTGTACAGATAGCAATTACGTAGAGATGCAAAGGCAAATGGGAGAAACCAGAATACCAAGGGTTATTTCAGATGGTAGCGAATTCACAGAGGGGTGGCTGAATTGGGCATGATGGATGTATGTTCAAATAAATGAAGTAATTGTCTCTTTTTTTTTCTTTTGTATGCTGCTACACCCACTCACCTTGCACAGATCTCTTCTATCCAGAATCTATTTTAAGACTACCTTACCACTGCAATGTTTAACCCAGATCTTTCTTATGTTCTAGCCTTTCTACTGTGTCTTTGGTATCAGCTTCTGTCTCCCTATCCTCGCTTTCAGGACAAGCGATCTTCTGAGGGGAGATGGCAAACTGCCTTTAGAGAGACCCTCCAATTCCCAACCAGCATTGACAAGGGTATGCTTTGTATATGAAACCAGAACATTTTTCTCTTTACCTATTTGTGCAATTACCTGAATTAGCTGTGCAAGAATCCTGTTTTCAGGGCTGATTAATGATCACAAACTGAAAAAATTCTCAGATAAGAAGAAATTCTTTTTCAGTGTGTCATACCTCACAGATGTCAAGGAAAGGAAGAGTTATCTATCTATCTCATGTATTTTGTTTGTACCATAAGCATGAAATTTAAAAAGAAAAAAAAACCCTTCAATTTAGCTATCACGTTCCAGGTGACATTCTGCATCTCGAGAAATGTCAAATTTCTGCTCTGAAAGAACTCAGTGCAAGTTTTTCTTATGGAAGGACAACATGGAATGGCCTCTGCTTGCCACTGATTAAAGTCTCCTCATTATCAGTTACTCCATGCACTGCACTTCATGGCTTATAGGCTAAATACTGCTCAGAGAGCACTGCAAGTCTCACATATGTACTTGAGCCTCACTTCTGTACTCAGTACTCTGGTTTACCTAACAGATGTGAAAAGCACAAGTTTTGTAATAACAAATGTAGTCCCGTGGTTAATTAGCATGGTGAAGAGAGGCAGCTGGTTACAAGAGCTTGCATTTATTTATGTTATTTCCATAAAAAAAAAAAAAAGAAGGCAGGAGCTAGGCATACAGTTAATAAATTAAACCTTATTGTCACCGTGAAGCAAGAAACTACAGAAAGGATCTGCAGCACAGTGTACTTAAGTAAATTGTTCGAGGTCACTTTGGGGGTAGGCAGGAGACGCAAACGCCAGCTGCATCCTCTGCCCCCAGTAATTTACAGAATGCTATTCCAGCGAATGCTAGTGAGAACTTATGCTCTCTTTTTTGTTTCATCTGCTCTGCTGGCTACCACCCCAGTGCTTAAAATATAAGGTCAGCAATATCTTATCATCTTCCTCCTGTCTGCTTTCTCTTTTTTTCTCTTTTTTTCACTCTCTCTCTCTCTTTTGCTTTCTTTTTCAATCATTCCAAAATCCAGACTTCTCTCAAGGGCTCTGAGGGATAACAAAAGAAACCTGGAAGTCTTTTTCTTCTTTGCATTGTATCAATAAATGCAAATATTTTAGAAAAGTGACTCTAAGCCTGACAAACACACGCTCCCAAATGCTTGCAATCTCTATTTCATAGACAAACTACTGGACTTAGCCAGTTCCTGATTACTGCCAGCAATACTCCCCCACTGAGCTCAGCAACCATTTTGTTATGCGCTATGAAGTATTTATTTTTCTGTCTAAGAGATTTATAACTCCTGAATCAAGAGAAACCATAAGACCCTGCAAATGCCAGTGAGCAGGGCAGGGTTATTCTTATTGAATTAGACTCAAACGTAAGCAGATGTCAAAAACTAGCACTGCTAGGCTGGAAAGGCATTTCGGGAAGAACTCATCTGCATGTACAATAAGCACCTACAACTGCAATCCTTGTTACACTTTTGCCTGTTGTACATGAACTGACCTAATTTCTGAAAATCCATAAAGCATTATCATACTGATGAGTTTAATTACCATAACAGATTTTATTTTTTCAACCAGAGGAGACTTCTTCTGAGGTTTTGCTGAAACCCTAAATGGTTTTGATTCGCACGAGACAAACAGATCTTACACTTCAAGCAGCGGGATGCAAGAGTTACACAAGTATCAACACAGAGCACTTGTGTGAATTGCCTGTTTGTCTTTTTTTCAGCACCTTTACTAAAAATAGCACATAATGCATCTGTCGTAGTCATACAGTTTCCAGCTTGGTAAGCCCTGCACTTTTCTTATTCCATACTCCCATGAGTTACCCTATTAGTTTCAGGAAACGCAGCTCAAGCATGCATCAATCAACTTGAAGACATAAAAGCATGCACAATAAACCACTACATTGTTATATGCAGAAGGTTCTCCTAGAAGCATGGCAGCCATTACTAAAAAAATAGTCTGTCAGATTAGTTGTGCTAAAGGCTAAGAGTGCAACCAAGTCACATACTGATTCTGTGCGACTTGACAGGGCATGTCTCCTCCTTGGTTTGCTTGACCAATCCAGCTGGCACATACCAATCCATATTGCAATGGTGGCTCTGTAAAAACTTGGCACTCAAAGAACAGTGATTTATGTTCATGGTCTTCTACCATTATAAAAATCACAGATGTGTATTTCAGGACAGTTTCATAGATCAGGAGCACAGATACAATTCTGTATCAGGGAATAAGAGTATTTAATCATGTCAGCATAAAGCTGAAAGCCTAACTGAGACATGGCTAGATAGTGGACTAAGTTTTAAAAACTCGGTGGCCTCTGTGCCCAGTTTACTGCCTCCTTGGAGGGTGGCTAGCTGTGGACAGTAACCCTAGTGGGAAAAGAGGAGCCATTTTCTGGAAGGCTAGAGGAGTTAATCACGTATCTGGGGAACTGACAATGGAATCAACTGTATTTAGTGACGGGCACAGCCATAGTTTCATGTGTCACCGCAACTGGGGAGAAAGGTCCAGTTCTTGGAGAAGGGATTTCTGCCTTTATTTCTTCTATTAGTCTCAGTTAATTACTTAGATTGATTACATAATCCTAGATAATTGCTTAGAATGCAAATGGCTGTATTCTAATGCATATTATAGAATTTAGTTCTCTGATATAGTTATTGCATGACACGTGAAACAGTTTACCCTCACTAGCTTTTAAGCTGACCAAGTTCTACGTTTTGCTTTGATTTTGAAAAGCAGAAAAGCAGAATAAGAATCCCTCTTTTCCTCATTCAATTTTAGACAATGTCATCATGCCAGCCAGTTTCTTGAGTCCCAGCTTATTCAGATTCTCACTGCAGAAAACATCCCTCTTTGGATTACTCTGATTTTGCATGATTCTTAGAGAGATGAACCAGTACTACAGAAAAGATCTCTGCTTTAATGAAACTACTGGTTATGCTACCATAGGACAGACAGAAGCCAGCACAGGTTGGCAACCTCCATGAAGAGCTAAATACCCATAGGGTTATGCCAGCTATGACTGAGATACACCCCACTACATCTATGTCAATACAGCCCAGGGACTCAAATAGGCTTTGTAGTGACGAGATGACTTGCTCTATGGCCCCAGACATATTGGTTTGTGCCTCAGATTTGCCTTCCCATTAAGAGCAGAAAAGAAGAACTAGAATTCCCAGCTACAGTGTACTGTGGAATTTCCTAATTTTTTACCTGCTAAGAAATGCTCCTGGAGTACTGTGAAGGTGGCATGGTCACACAGGTTCTGAAACAGCATGAGAAAAGCAATTTTAAATTCTAGGGATTTGTAATGCTCACTTTTGTAACTTGAAGTTTCTTCCTAAAGAATTTTCTGTATGTCATTTCCAAGACATTCACAGACAGAATTGCTGTTTTAC